GTGTTCCTTTGACTTGCTGATAGAGTTTGCCGTCAAATTCGAAGTATGTGCATAGACACAAATCCATCAGTTCGCAAATGATTCAAATTCTTACTGGATTATCCGGGTATTGCTCTCGAAGGAGCTTTTCCAGTATTTCGTTGGCCAAATTCAAATCAATTGAAGTGAACAGCGCTTTGACATCAAACGAAAGCATGACTTCATCTTCCTCTAATTTGATGTTTTGCAGTTTGTCCAGAAATAGCCGGGCGTCAGTTATGGAATGTTCCGATCCACTTATGAGAGGTGTTAAGTATTTCCATAGTTCTTTGGCCAAATTGTATGTTGGGATTCCCGGCAAGGATACAATCGGTCTCAGTGGGATAACTTCCTTGTGAACTTTTGGCAATCCGTAGAATTGTGCAATGCTTGACGCATCCGCTCGCATTCTCCAGCGTTCTTCTTTGGTTATCCTTTGCAATTCTTGCAATTTCTTCAAAGTTTTGTTGNTTGATTTTATTCACCAGTTTTGTGGTTGGATCTGCATCAATGGATCGGTAGGTAGTGGTGTCTTCAAATAGTTGTTTTGCCTTTTCAATATAATCGGCTTTGTCCATAACCATCGTCATTCTTCCTTTGTCAGCCGGTAGAATGATAATATTCTCGTCTTTCTTGAGTTTCTTCAGTACATCGTGTTCTACTTTGGTGAGGGTGGCGTTCGGCCGTTTGTGGTGCATAGTCGAGACTATGACTTGTCTGAGCTCGAACTTGAACTCTTCTGGGAATCCACAGGATTTGAATGCATGTTCCAGTTCGGCTAGGTACTCCTTTGTTGTCGCGTTTCCGAGGTTGAAATTCATTCCTTTTCTGAGCAGGTTCTCCTCTTCGGTTGATAACAAAAAAAATTCGAACTATTAACCAATGGAAAAGGTTTGGTGTAACTGCTACTAAATTTAGTAACTCCGACAGGTCAAGGTCATAGTCAGAGGTCAACTTACTAAATCGAGTAACCTTGGTGCGCAAAGGTCATCTCAATAGCAACCATCAAAGGTCAAGTTACCAAATTTAGTACCATCTTCAAGGTCAACAGCGAGAACAATTCTCAAGGTCAAACCTAGGGTTGGAATACTATAAATAAAGACAAGTACAGGGATCATTACCAACGCACTGACGATGTCACCTCGGCTGGTGATGAAACGTTTGCGATCTCAACGCACAGCTCAGCGAACACAAGACCCCACAAACTATCAACCTGAGCTACAAACCACACCCATATTCAAATCTGTTGAAAATATTGTATTTTCTGCAGTATGCATCATGTTGAGATGCAACGAAATCGTCCGGGACATAAATCGTGCAGTATTGCAATTTGGTCTTTTCTTTTGAGACTGACACTTTCTCAAAAATGAATCGTACCGCCCGGAGGGAAACGGTGTCTTCATCACTTTACTTGCAGACCACCTATGCTTTCTAATGGGAGACCGTTCTATCAAACAGTCTGCTTGCTTGTGAAAATTATTGACCTGTCTCAGATGAGACTTTTTGTTCTACGTACTCCAATGCATCGACACTCTTATCGTTGTTCCTGAGGATCAACTCTCTTCGTCCGGGCTCTTTCTTGTGGAACTATAACACTAGTGATAGTGCTACAAGAAACTAAACCGTTTTTTTTAGTTATTCATCGGGAATTATGTCCATGTGCTTATGAAAAATGTTGCGTACCCCGGGTCTCCAATTTCTTTTGAGCCACAGTAAAGTTGATGTTACTGACGAACCTGCGTTGAGATTTCTGAAATTATGATCAAAATATTCCACGGTTTGCACTACAAATACATACACATCAAGGGTGCAAAATAAGAGTTGCAAATTCAGCTACGCGAGCCTCCCGTGGCAATCATCAATCCGCTGGAACTGCATCGAAAGTTTTTGCTGCTTGCCACACCAATCTTTGTCTGCTTATGAAATCTGTGAGAAGTCTACGGATGGTGTTTACCAAAGGTCACGTAATCGAATGCGAAATTACCAAACCCTTATAAGAGAGAGTTTATATGGGTAGTACGTAGATGGAAAGACTAATTGAATGGGTGGAGACGGCCGCTTGATTGCTAATCGTTGCTTAACGCAGCACCATTGTGCCACCGTCGAACCGAACTTGAAAGACTCATAACCACATTTCACTCTGGGCGAACCGCAGATGACAAGTGTAATCCCGTCATGCACAATTCCCACCACAGGCCGGTGATACAAAAGAAAATCATCTGCTTGAACCATCTTGATGATTCACAAACAAATGTACAAACTTCTCATGTAACAGGGGAAAAAACAGGACCAAAAGTGGAAAGTTTCACTTTGATCAATACCATTTTCGAATATGTACAAAACGCATGTTATGCTTCAGTGTGGACGAAATGGCAAAGCGATAAGGGGTAGAGTTATCAAACGGAATTCAACACGGCAGTGTCAGACAGACAACAGTGTATGAACTGGGGAAGCTGTGTATGTACACCAGAATACATACAGGATTTAGTCAACATCCACGCGAACCAACTGGTTCAACAAATCTGCCGGGACACGAGCAACTTTACGCGAAAACCGCTGCAGCGTGTGAGGGCAGATCATCTCGGTCCAAGCAACGGGAACCAATGGGGATCCGCTTGTACTGCCTATCAAATCTACAAGTGCGCTGGTTGGTGTTCTACCCAGCCCTAGAACGACACCTAAATCCGGCTCGGCTGTGGTAAGAAGACAAAGAGCTGTGGATGAGGAAGCGCTGGCCGACGAAGAAGCATCACTGGTCGCTCCTACTGAAGCAGACACTGCTTGAGCAGCCAAAAGAGTGCTATTTGCCACCAGAGGTGCATCCGATGTGTCCCCGTCCGAGAGCGACGATCCAGCTCCGGGACCAAGTAGATTGAGAACCCGAGCGCGAATCAAATCTCCGGGGCGGTAACACTGAGACGGCTCTGCCTGATCTCGCTGTGTTGCACGAATGTCCTCGCGTCGAATGAGACCACGAAACGGGCCAGCTAACGGTTGATCACCGACTGCGACCACATCACAACGAACCACGCGCCTTGTTAAGCTGGATACCTGGAAAA